CCTTCTATATGTGCCACAATTATTTCCCGCTCCTGTTCCTTTTGTAGTCGCACGGCTTGTAATTTAACTTCATTCTTCTCACAGAAAATAAGAAGTTGTTTTTTCGTTAATTCCACGTACGAGAATACCTCCATGACGAAGCGAATGCGAAAGAATGTTTTGAAGCCCCATTGTAATAAATTTGTAACTATAAATTATAAACAATACTTTGGCTCACCGATACGGGACCAAATTCAAAACTTGGGTGCCAAATATGGTAGGCAACCTAGACGCTTGATACCCGACGCGAGCGCACTGGCAGGGTCGCCATGTGATGCGCGTATAGAGCGGAGTGAAATGAAACGAACGGGCGTTGAGTATACACTGACTTTATTTAGGAAAATTCACCCCTTTTAAATAGTTATAACAATGGGTTAGTAATGTATCAGATTACAATGTTTACACTAGGGTCTTGTTACTAATTTTATTTAAGATAATTAATATGATATTATTGATATATGATATTAATATGACACTGTTTATACTTAAGGTCACGTTTAACCTAAATTCCTTAGTGATATTTCATACAAGTACCTATACATCCACTACAAGTGATTATGAGAAGTCGACCTCGAAAACCAAGAACTACAACCAAACAAACGGCAACAACGTAACTATCATCAGCAATATGTATTGATACGTCCCCGACCCCCGAATACGCAAGAAGTCTGTGCCCCCAACCCCATAATAAAATATTACTTAACTAGCTGTTTAGGTTCTAAACGTATTGGCAACATTTCGAAGTACATTTTTTTATTCGTTCCACTAGGTGGTGATACGTTCAAACTAATACTTTTACATCCTCTATCACCCTCAGTTTTATCCGATCCGATGGGATTGAATTTATCTAAATCCTATTTAAGCGGACGTTTTCATGATAGTAGCTCCAATCGTTAATTTCCGATAAATCTGTCGAAAATCTAAGAAGATTTATACAAACTCTCATCCCTGTTTTATCTCCTTAAGGGGGGGGGGGGGGGGGGGGGGAATTATCAAAATCCTTAATGAACCAAGAGGCTATATCTTTTTTAAATGATAACAATTCTAGCGGTCAAAAACTCCCAAGGACGTATAGCTGGTGAGAAAACTCGCCAGCCACGATCACCTCGCCTGCTCGGACGATTTTCTTTTTCGTAGAGAACTTAACTCTCTGTTCCCTAAAACTCAACTCTATTTAAAGTATGCAAGAAAGAGATAGAAGCTAGATGTTACTACTGCGCAAGAGTGAAAAAACAAATTTTACCTCTTACTCAAGTAACAGAGTTAATGAATGAAAATAATTTCATTAGAATTTGCTATGCAGTCTCATGTGACTTGATTCACAATTCTATCGAATCCGCGAAGTTGTCTTAAGGTGTTTGTCTCACAAGTTACTTTTGTGAACTCGTTGAGTGTACAAGAGAATATATCCGCACTGTCCGCTACACTATATTGCATTCAATGTGCGCAAGGCTCGCGTTGGTGCCTTCTGCAAGGTTCGTACGTGCGCACGGTACCACCAGCAGCCGCGGCCGCCGCCTTCGCTGCACGTACTCGTCCGGAACCACAGAAATATTTAATATATTTGTTATTATATTTGTTTAACCTTAAATAAATAAGTAGCTAGAGCTACTTCACGTCTTACCTCCAGTTTGTAGTATCCTACCATACCCAGTACAAACAACGTTGGATATGGTAATGGGTATCGGGGTATGTACCGTACGAATTTAAATACACGAATCTGACAAACTCATTTTGGATACGTTCAATTATAAACTTCATATTTGTCTTCATGTGGACTCCAGACACTAGCGTTACACTCCAAGTGACTTTTAAAGAAAGACTCGTAAATAAAGGGTACGAGACTATGGATGACTATGGAGTACTATGGACTTTAAATAAAGGGTACGAGGTACCCACCTTGTACCCTTTTTTTAAGGGGGGAAAATCATCGAAATACTGCTCCCGCCTGGGTGAGGCGGGAGGGAGTGTCAGACTCTTACTGGCTAAAATCCACCCCGTTCCTTCTCCTGCACGTCGAGCCGAAGCCCCGGTTACCCGTTAGGTTGTCCGCGACTCCGAATCGGCATCGGCCTATTGGGCCCCATCTGTGGTGGTCTGATGGCTCTTTGAGGCGCGCGCGGAACGCGACGCGCCGTACGCTCGGGTCTGTTTCTGGTCGGACGGGGAGCCACCCATGCTCGCCGTCCGCAGGCCTGCGCTTAAGGTGGCCGGAGATCGTCTCGCGATCCCCGACGCCCGGTGTGTCCTTCGCGATGGCTGGATTGCGAGGAGGCAGCGCTTCGCTGCCTCACGCGTCCCACCTCCTCCTTAGCTAACATGACTGCTTCGCAAAAGGAGGAGACTGCATCCCATCGGCTCCGCATCATGGCCCGCACTAGGCCCGGACGCGAGAGGTCGCCATCGCCGATTACTTCCCTGAGGGCACGGCGGTGCTCAGCCCACGCAGGGCATTCTGCTACAGTGTGTTCCACCGTGTCCTCAGGGCGGTCCTCGCAGTTATGACATCCGGGCGTTTCCTCCCGCCCCATCAGACACAGGTACCTCCCGAAACTTCCATGTCCGGTGAGGACCTGCGTCAGGCGGTAGGTGAGGACGCCGTAGCGTCTCTCAAGCCACTCCTCAAAGAGGGGACTTACCGCTGCAATGGCAGCGAGCCCAACCTCGTACCCTTACAGCTGCGATGTTATTAAACTCGTTTGCTGACGTAACAGAAAACTTAAATAGCGGTATGCCTTCTTGCATCCATAATGATACAAAATGAACTCCTAAATCTGTCACCTCCGTAACGCGTTGCAACAGTTCACCACCCGACCGGGGCGGAAGCCGTGCTGAGCATCAGTCAGGTGGGCGCTTACCTGAGCATACAGCTGTTAGCTGGAGCATATAGGACTGCCACAGACTTATAGTCGCTAGGTTCTGTACCTGATACCTCCACCACCTTTCGGTACCGGTACGACTCGAGTAAGTTCTACGGATCAGGAAACGTCCCAGCTGCTATTAAAATGTTGTATAAATGTAGTGTCACTGTTTCTAGCCGACCCTAACGTAGATAAAATTATCGTTTTTCCTAAATCAAGGAGGGATGTTATTCGGCTTACCCGTTCGTGGGAAATGGGCAAGGAACTGAGCTCCGCCGTCCTCTCAGCCCTGCAGAGCTCGTCCATTACTAGCAGCTCTCCCACCGTTTGTTCTGAGTTACACGGGAAAATGAATGAATTCCCAATAACAAATACTATAACTTATTTATTCATTATGTTATTTAATTAAATAACACATCTATGTTATTATATATTACTAGCTTCTGCTCGCGACTTCGTACGCGCAATTCCGTTTTCTCCCGTTCCCATAGGATTTTCAGGACTTTTTCTGTCTTAAGAACCTTCTCATAATAATAACAAATACAACAAAAAAGAATTACTGAAATCGGTCTAGTCATTCACGCGTGATGCCGTGACCAAGGGAAAAAGGGATTCATTTCGACTGATTTGATAGATATTATTGAATTTTAACTTTGTATAGCGGCCATACAAAATTATTCATTAAAACCTTAATAGGTACCTAATTCACAATTTTGTGGACATAAAGTTATATCACTGTGATATGAGCTAATGGCACCGACTTCTAACCTATCAGTGGGTGGGTATTGGGTAACCTATCAGTACTAATAATAGTTATTTTTTGCTTGTTAGTTTTGACTTTTTGTTTGTTATTAGTTTTTGGTTTTTTGAAGTCGGTTTTTTAAACGTAGTTTTTATTTTATTATTTTATCATTTTCATCAGTGTAAAGTTACATATACCCGTTTTGTTACTCATAATCTACATAGGTGCAAAGTTCTAATCAATACAAATTATATAAGCCCAAACACAAGGTAGTTACTATAAGGTAGTTACTATACGTTGAGGAGTTCCCTTAACAATTACTCTTCTTCATCATCAGACCCTTAATGACAGTCCCACTCTATCTAGGTGTAAAGTCCTCATCAATACAAATTAATCAAGCCCAAACACAAGGTAGTTAATATAAACCGCTGAGGAGTTCCCTCGACTGTCTGTCAGCTCCATCATCAGGTCGACTCCAGACCTTTATCAAATTGTAGTGTCTAAAAATCGTTATTGAAAAACATAATAGACGCATTACTCGCCTATAGAATTTTCGAAAGCTCCCCTCGGTTTCTCTAGGATCCCATCGTCAGATCCTGACCTCATGAAAATAGGACCATCTCGGGAGTATACCCTTTCAAACAAAACAAGAATTTTGGAAATCGGTTCACAAATGGCGGATCAATGCGCGAACAAACAAAAAAAAAACAAATAGCCGAACATAGTACCGATACAAAACATAGAAAATTATTTTTACCGACTTCAAAAAAAGGAGGACTTTTTTTGAAGTCGGTAAAAATAATTTTCAGTGTTTTGTATATTAAAAGAAAATTGTAGTTATAAAAGTGAGTTTTCGAGAATATCGTACTTAGGGATGTATGCTTACATGTACAAAATGACAAACCTTCACATCTACATAATTATATTAAATAAATCGATGTTCGTGAGTTTCCTAAACCCCAAAAAGGTTGAAGTTGAACCAATTTGACTAAGTAACATCATTAAGGAACAAAAACAAGACATTATTGAATTTTACTACCATAACTTAATTTTGAGGTAGTTCGGAATCACAGGCACAGGGTCACAAACTTCGTAAACGATAGGATTCGAACTGTTTCGCTAACAAAAAAACTATCAAAACCAGAAAATAACTTCGACAAGACATGAGACAAACATACAGCAGAAGGAGCAGTAGAGGGAGTGCCCGCCGCGCGCCGCCCGGACGGCGCCGGCGCGGTGTGGGCGGCGTGCTGAGTGCTGGGTGCGCGTGTTGCAGGTGGAGCGCGCGCGCCGGCCGCGCCCCTCCCGCGGCGGCTGCGCCAGCGCCGCACAGCGCGCGCGCCGCGCCTGCCACAGTCGGTGCGCCGCCGGCTACCCAAACAGACGTGCGCGCCGTCGCTCGCTCCGCAGTTGAGTTCCGCGCGCCCGCGCTCTCGATATGAGCTCCGGCAAGAGGAAGCTCTCGTTCCTGGGCTTCGCCCCGCAGGTGAGTGCTTCACTCCTTATGTACTGTCCTTGCCGCCGGTCAGCCAGCACCGCTCGTTGCTGCTTCGTAAATAGTTGCATGTTGCACATTACAGCAACAAGCGGAAATTTAACAACAAAGTACGTCTGTGACGTCAGATGACAAAAATGTGCTCTATCGTGGTACGGAGTGTCCGACCTAGACACTAGACTGGCTTACGATATGTTATAATAAATATGTTGTATGAGTAGCAGTCACATACCGCTGCGCGCTGAGCTTTAAGGCGCGCGTACACTGGTCGGTCCAGTGCCTGCGTGCTACGTCTACTATAAGTGCCGCAGTGTGCTCCGTGCTGTGGTCGGCCCACGATGACACGACGCTCGCTTTGGTGAGACTTGCTGATGCACTAAAATAACGCATGTTTTATTGTTTGTAACCATATTAAAAGTGGTCGTTAATGGAGACAACAATCACAATGTATTATCACCATAAACGGAAGCACACGCTACCGCTATATCAATGAAATGTTGTATGACGGCTGCGTACTTTTGCGTGAAACTTATATTTTTGTAAATCGTGCAAGGCCACTGCATACGCATGAAGCAAGCGACTGCGACTCCGAGTCGCACGGTCGTGCCGTGTCGCACCTTGCCGTGCCGTGTCGCGCGTCTCACTGCTGGCTCGCATTGTGTTTACCCTCACCAAGAGGTGCTTCTGGCGAATCCTTTCGCAGACCTCGACAGTTGCTCACTTATCTGAATTGAAGATTTCGGTCGATGCACAACTGTGTCGCATGTGTAACTAGGGTGCTTGAACGCTATAATATAAGTTGGAGGGTTTATTTATTGAATAGCGAATGTGAATGCAATAGTGTGCGTGGCAGGCTGGCAGCGCAGCGAAGCGACTTGAGTTTGTTTAGGTGCAGCGAGATGTGGCGCGCGCCATTGAGCTGCGCGAGCCGCGCCGCGTTAGTTCCGCTCTGTAGCTGCAGCCGCTCAGGCGATCCCATCGATAGTCGATACCCTTTTTATTTGTACTTGTTAATGCACAAATATGCTCACATTTATGATTGAAGTCATTGCAGTTGCAGATACTAACTTACATGTTCACTAGATGCTGCCGCCCACCGCCCAGCATTACTCATACAAACTCTTAGTTTGATGTAGTATATATGTGGCAGTGGTCCGGTGGCGTACTGCCCCCCTCCCCCACGTCTCACGTAGGGGGCGGCGTCCTTGCCTCCGTGGGTCCGCGACTACTTAAAGCCATTTAACTGCAAATAACATCGACACTGTAGACATGACCGTTAATATTGGCACTCGCTTATTGATCACTGGCGCATGCGCAATAGTCAACTAGTAAGTCAACGCAGACACACACGCGCGCGCCAGTCGCTGACGCCGCGATTGCCGCGACCTGTACACTGTAGACTAGTTGTTACAGTTATAGATATTGTTATATACTAGCGTCACGCGCACTCCACTGGGATACAGAGCAGTCATGTGTAACTTATTCCAGACCTGAATCTACCCCTGTTCCAAATTTCATCTCGATCCCTTCAGCCGCTTTGACGTAACCCAGTAACAAACAAACACAAACGTTCTCATTTATAATATGAGTGCGATTACATTTTGCATGTTAGGAAGCTGTTCTATACTCATGTCTAGAGCCCTAAACGAAGTTTTGCAACCATTGCGGCCTCCTCGGAGCGGGGAGTGCGGGGAGTGCGGGGAGTGCTGGTTACGGGTGCCATGCAGCTACACTTTGTGATATTTGCGAAAAGCATCACTTGCAGACAGACATATTGAAAAAGTGTAAATTCTAATAATAGCTTGTTACATGTGCCAAACTGCCAACGCGGATACAAGACAAACGCAGTGACATAAGTAGCCGCGTACTGCCGAATGTACGAGTACGTGAGTACGTGCGAGTGCGAAGGCCGCGCACCGCTCTCACTCGTAACGAGTGTCCAGATTTGATTCAGAACATTATCTGCGTACCCATGCCGTGATAATGTAATATACGAGTCAGTTATTTTCCATAGCGAATAATAACGTAATTAGCTGATACCGGGAGCTCGGCAGATTAGATAGATATATGATACGTGCGAGTGGCGGAAGGGCTCGTCGCTCGTCGCGCGGCCGGCACGCGTAGCTCGCTCCCGGCGCGCGTCGGGAACTCGGGAGCTCCGTAGCGGGCGTAGCACGCTCCCGCTACGCGCTACGCGGGCCGCCAGCGGGCAGCCAGCGAGCAGCGGAGCCGCGCGCACGCGCACGTGGAGGTCGCGGCCGCTTTATTATTATTAGCAGCGCGCCGCACTCTGTTACTTACGACCAGGTGTCGAGTCGAGCGACGCGACGACTCTAAGGTCACTTTTTTCTGTAATCATTAGTCGATTATGTGTTTTTGTAAGGCATCCATAATCTGGTAAGGTTATAATCGGTGGCCGGTGATCGTGCTGCCGCGGCCGGCGGAGAGGGAGAGGGGAGGATGGGGGGGGGGGAGGTTTCTCTTCTCATCTTCTCGAGGTGCCCACCGAAATATGACCTGGTGCAGCTGCTGACCACTAGAATGGTCAGGACAAGTCCTGGCGATGGTGGCGATGTCTATAAGAACATCCTATTACTTAGGTTTAGGTAGGCAGCAGACACGGGGGCTGGTGGCCATGGCGCTCACTGCGCTCTGATTGCGATAAGCGCTCCGGATCACGGAAACGTACCGACACACTTAGCTCAGGGACGCTGTTATCTGCGCCTCGCTACCTGCGCCTGCGATACCGTACTGTTTCTTTACGCCTGATACGGAATAGCGTTATTTTACGCGAATTTTATCGGCTCGTAATCGGCTCAGGATAAGATACATCATATCTCGCTGAGACATGCTCCTCACGTGGCTACCGTCCATCGTATGGAGACCGCACCTATGTGTGTTCGAAGTTCTGGCGCCACGTCACGCACTCTCTCTGAATCAAGTAACTAGTAGGCACGTACCTACTGTACATGCGACTCGTTAAATTGAACACAAATATTTTACGAGATTGAAGAAACAGGTAATGAGTAATGACGCAATAGGCAGGTCGTTCGATCCATCAATCTAACACGAGAGCCTGGGCACGTGTCGGCGGCACACGTACGCACCGCGCAGGCGCACGCCGCGCGCTCTCCGCTGATGAAGCGCTTCCACTTATTATTATTTAATTCGAATGCGTTGCAAATCGATGTGATTGTGGTGACTCACATCTCGCCAAGTAGCGGCGCTCGCACATGTCGCTGTACTCGCTCCTAGCTAATGCTTGTTATGCACTCGCTTTACTACTCTTTAGTAAGAGGAAAACAGCCCTTTATGTAATACTAGCTTTTACCCGCGGCTTCGCTCGCGTCACAAAAGGATAAAAAGTAGTCTATGTGACATATACCAATACACACAGCGCCATCTATACCAATACTTTTGTTTTCCCTCGGGAATATCGATTTTTTCCGGGATAAAAAGTACCCTATTATTTAATCCAGACTTCTAACTTTACGTCTGCAAAAATTCAAAGCAATCGGTTTAGTAGTTACGGCGTGAAAGTGGAACAAACAAACAAACAAACAAACTCACTTTCCAATTTATAATATTAGTAAGGATAGTAAGGATGTACAACTTCTTTCATTTGCCGATGACTAAAGTAGGCTGCAGTGTTTTTTTTAAATCGTTGCCCCACACTAGTGTTTTCTCCTGTGTCGTAGGTGCATTTACAAATATATAAATTAACATACACATGACACCCAGACCCGGCACAACAATCTGTGGATCACACAAAGAGTTTTTCCGTGCGGGAATCGAACCCGAGACACGTAGCGCGGCAGCCAGTTGCCCAACCACCGCGCCAACCGTGCAGTCAAGTCAGTAGATCTTTGCAATTCTTCCATTAGTAGTTACTAGGACGTAGTCACTAGTCGCGAACTATGTCGGGAGGTACCTGTCCCAGTGTCCCTGGCCACGAGTACACACGACTACACTGTTCATTATCATTATAAGGATGGATTGGTGCTCCTAGAAATCTGTAATCGTGTAATTGAGTAGTGCTTGTGCAATTGTGCACTACAACTCCGATTACAGATTAATTTCCTTCAATCGTCGGCAGCACACTTGCGCGCTGCAAGTCTCTGGTGTGTCAGGACCGGTGGGGGTGGGTGACGCCGATTATTTACCATCAGGTGATCCATCTGTCTGCACGTCTACACTCACGTGTAACGGCTTCGCAGTACGTGTAGCAGATCCCACCGACTATTTATTATTATTTTCTTTTAGTCTAGATTATGTTATCGTACTTTTATTACTTAAAGTACAAGTAGTTAGACAATTTTTTACATCACACAATATCAACAGCCTATAAGTGACCACTGCTGACCAAAGGCCTCTTCTCATACGGAGGAGGTTTGAGCATTAATCACCACGCTTGCTCAATGCGGGTTGACGATTTCACACTTATAATGATAAAAATTTAATTGTAATTGTTAAATTTTTATATTATAAATTCCTAATCCCCAAAAATCCGGTAACACACTGGTACCGCCTCTGGAGTTCCAGGTGTCCAGCCGTCCGCTCGTTTACCGGCTTGTGACATAAAAAAAAATGAAAAAAGACCCGACACAAAATCTTACCTTAAAAATAATAAAATAAACCCTACCTGAAGTACGTAGTATTCTGTCACATCGCCTTAGGGAACGGCTCCGGATGACCCGAGCGATCGAATGATGACGATTTTCTTCATTAGGTGGTTAGTATGGTTAATTGTCTAGTCTAGTCGGCCGTCAATGGTCGAGATTGATGACACCCAATGACATGGCGGACCGCGATCGAGTTCACTCCGAGAGTTCTAATTGACATCTTACAGAATAGCCTCGCTGCTGCATCGCCACTCACTTTAAGGAAAGTACATGTTGCCAGATCCTGGTGTAAAACCAGATAAGAATATACATATATGGGAAATATGTAATTTAATAGCTTGCTGCATATTTATGCATGAATTAGACCAG